AGGACAACGCCCCATAAAGCCCAACTCCGGAGACAGATGGCAGTTCTCTCGGTGTCTTGACAGGACCTGATGATCCTCCTGTGGCACCCCAACCTTCCCACGTGTCTCCGCTTGCCTTGGAGTCCTGACGCTGCTCATCACCAGTGGTGGCATCAACAATTAATGCTGCCTGTGGTACCACCAATCTCAATGCAGAGTCACCCTGATCTCCAGCACGGGATGTAAGAAAGTATTTGAAGAACTCATACATGGACCAACATATTGCTGTTGATGGCATCTGATACAGAACACGAGCGCTCATTCCTCGGAAATACCCCGAAGGTCCTCCAAGCTTGTATACTGTCTGAATTGCATGAATCAGACCTGTGCCCTGTCCTTGCTCAGGCTGCGTGTTCAGTAATGTCTTGCAGACATCCAATGGTGTGGTTATAGCTGCAGAAACTGCTCCGGCAATGGCACCAGAAACCATGTGAGCAGTGGGGTTATAGCAACGTTTCTCGTTTGTTATATTCTGAACAAACTCGTATGTCATGAAGTGGATACTTTGGAATGGAATATTCATTGTCAGTTGTGTAGTGTATGAACGATAGAAAGCACGAATTCCTTCTGAGCGATATATCTGCACTATGCAGTCCAAGAAAGATTTGTATGGTGAATTGTACATCTGCAATCGCTGTTTCACCACTGATCAGTCACACACACAATTTAAAGAAATTCCATCCACCAGTGTTTGCAAAATCCAAGGCACATGCATCATGCATGTGTATGTATCCAAGAAGACCAAAACATGAAAAAAATGAATATAAGCATTAATAAGACAAAATTATTTTATAATACAACATATACGTTTCAGAGTGTAACTACACCACCTGTCCATAAAAAGTTCCACCATCACATCCTGAGGACACAAAATAGTTATTAATTCAATTTTTCAGCATAAAACATATAATATGTGTAAGTAAATATATACACTACACTCCTCATTAACAATCTCTGCTTCATATGGCAAATGAGAATTTCATTCTTGTTGATTACAACCTTTATGAGACTTTTGTCACTTTTCTTGTGATTTGCATAACATGTGCAGATGTGTACAGAATCACCCTCTGATCATAAACATAAAAGGTAGCATCCAGCCACATCTACAGTCTACACATGACCCATATAAAATTTGTGGACCATAAATACATTCATTTAAACTTGTGGGTTAAATTAACAACCTTATAAGTAAACACTGTACCTTCAGCTGGGTTCATTATAGCATCATGTAGGAGTGTTGCTACACATCCAGCTGCACCTGTTAACAAATAGAAGTGTCACAATTTGTACCAACAAATTCAGTAACACAGCCTAATAAAAGTCTTGATTTTGCAAACTAAACAATTTCACAATATGATAAATATGTAATTATGCCACTTCCGCACATACACATAAGACATAATCACCCTGATGACGGAGGCAGTATGACCTCGGAAACGTTGGTTAACATCGACCAGACTAAACAGCGCAACAACCCAGAAGACAGAAATCTTCAAGACAACATCCACTGCACAACTAGCAGAACTCATGTTTTATTTATGCTTACCCCAACCAAACACAATAATTAATTAAACTTATCACACTAATCTAACAACTAAAACAAACCTGAATTTGAAGAAATATACAAACATGTAAAAAAAGTTATAACTCTGCAATATACAATGTGAGCAAATGATACACAAGTAACTGGCCACTCTATTGCAAAGGAGCATCAAACCTGAAGTAACATATCATTCAGACATGGGAAGATAAATGAAAACAGCTCACCATATGCCAAATGATTTGTTCGTGTTGATCCTTGAGTGAGGGTGTTCTTTATGTACTCATAACATGAGAAGTACAATGCATGGGCAGGTCCTGCGCCCAACACAACAGCACTCATTCCACGTACAGGCCGCAGCACACCTTCATATTTAACCATACGAAACAGTGCTTCTCCCACACCTCTGTATGCAGCATTGGGTGATGGTGACAAGTTCTGCATCCGTGTCTATGTTAAAAAAATAATTTAATCCTGTTATAATATGCTTCCAAACTCAAAAAGAAGTTATCATAAATATCCTTGCACATCCTAACCTATTGTCACACCATAATTATAACAGGTTGTATCACCGCAAGCATTAGGTAATATAAATTAACTATAAGACACTCATAATTATACATTTTTTACGGATTAATAAAGTTATGTGTTTATACAATACCTTGACAGAATCTAGTGGATACATAACGCAATGCTCCATTACACCAGCAATGGCACCCGCCGTCATATGGGTCACAACGTTTTGGGTAGGAAGTGTTTCATAGTCATTATCAAAGTCCATAATAGTCTGGTTAATAATATTGACACTTCACTACGAACGTTATAGAAGTCCTTGTTAATCACTTTCTTGATAACTCAACTGTCACACACCCTCACTACAGCAATAGCGACCAGAATTCAAGTAGAAATCACCCAACACACACCGTCCAGCACGATGGTCTATAAATTTACAATCCTGGCAGTAACAGAGCTATCTGTGGTCGGCTGTTAATTTTATCTGTGATTAACACCGCCAACTAATATTTCTTGCCTATTCGCTTTGGGCATAGAAGTGGAGTGAATGTAAAAACACAGTTTGTTATATTAGAAGTAAATGTGTTTAAAATGAAAAGAACTTAATTAAATGTAATTGTTTAGCTGTCTATTAATAAAAATAAACAAACCAGTGTTTGTAATTGTAAATAACTGTAGAACAGTAAAATCGTTATAGTATCAAAGTGCGGTGGTTCGTAGAACGCCAGTGCTGCCGTGACTTCCAACGAAACGTTAGGAACTATACTGACGCGAAATTTGATTACTAAAATGGGAAGGGGGCGGGGCGTAAAATGAATATGTTTGTGCAGGATTACACAAAGATGTAAGTTGTGTTATTTTGATTTTTTAAAAATAAATTTTAAACATTTTCACACAAGTTACACTAATTTGATTTTTGACGGAAATACGTCTATACGGAAGGGTCATTCGGCAAAAACGCGAAACGAAGACGTGTAAGATCCATATCAACAATGTGTAAATATGGACCGACAACAATGGTCAGCTTGCGTCATCTGTTTACTCGGCATTGTGTTACATTACTGCCGTCAACAATCCGCTTTCGTTATTGCGGAAAGAGCTGAGCTGTGAATCGCTTGTAGAAGAAGTGCCTCGTAGACTAAATAATTTTGTGCTGATAAAAACGTTTTAGAATACCACAAGTACTTATCTTATATAAGAATTATTACAATACATTACATTCAAAAAAAAATTCATTATCACAATAACATTACTCCAATAAATGAACTAAATCACTTTCGGCAGAACTTCTCGCATACTATAAATAAAGAAAAGTTGGCTAGCACAGACCATTGACGCGGCCATTTTAAACTAGTGTAGTTTAAATATCTTATTCGAGTACTTAACAGCGTACATTGTTAACGTGTTTCACAAATTCCTTCACTCTGACGTATCACCCATTTAACGAAACATTATATGGGAACAAAAGAGAATACCCAAATAATGAAGGAAAACTCGATTTAATACGTATCGTAGCATAAATCATCGAATATCTGCATTGTATTGTGGTTAATCTCGTAATAAACTGTACAAGGGATAGATATAAAGTTTACCTATCCTGATTAAATAGTACATTGTCTTCAGGAGCAGACCAATACTCCCATCTCTATACAATCTTCCTATTGCCGTCATGACCTTCATTCTTGCAGTCAGTACGGACACAATTATCTAATAGCTAAGAAAGGAACTGATAAAGCAACGGCCTTGCTTCATTACAGTGCACTTGTGTTGAATTTTCCATTGCGATGTAAGATGGCAAGGGAATCGTTACATGACATAATTTCTCGATGAAGAACATCCAATAGAATTAAGCATACTCTTAACTGTTTTTGCTGTTAACGCAGTGTGGTGAAGATAAAATATGGCAAGTAATGTGTGATATGGTTGAATGTTTCACTATTACTGATGCAGTATCTGATACTTACGGCGTGGTCTGACTGATATTTATATTTTGTAGCTTAAATGCGTCATGTTTGTGTTGATTAAATATATATTTATTTTTTAAAAAAATGATATTTATATATTCATTTATTATTTTAATCCAAGAATAACACCACACTCAAATCCAAAAGTACATATCATACAGTTTAATTTAGCCTTTTTCTCTTACAAGTTTACCGAAACATGTGGTGGTAAAATAAGACTACTAACAAAAGAAATTGTTGTATAGACTAAGTAACACCTATTGATTGCACAACATGATTCCTCATATTAATATGATTTGTCATAAATTTCGGAAAATTGTTTTTTTTAATTTCCGTAACTTTTAAAACACATATCCCCTTACCTTGGGCAACGGCAAATACCAGGTGATTCAAAAAGGACTTTACAACTTTGAAAGTGTATAGAAATTTATTCAGAAGGCTTACAGAATCGGTTGAGATGTCATTTTGTAGAAAAACAAATCAAGTTTGACTCACGTTGTGCTGTAGTACCGAATTCCGTCACCGCGAGCGCAACCGGCACTGCATTTGAAAATGGCTCGAAAATTTTCTCATACAACAGTTAGACGAAGATGACCAAAAAGGACGCATTCACTTCCAGCAAGACGGCGCACCACCTCACTACCTCACAGAAGTCCGGGATTTCCTCAATAACCGTTTCCCAGGTCGGTGGATTGGTCGAACAGGGTCGATAGCATGGCCACCTCGTTCTCCAGATTTGACACCTCTCGATTTTTTCTTATGGGGTTTCATTAAAGATCGTGTGTTTGTTCCACCCTTACCTGCCAATCTCACTGAGCTCAAAGCTCGAATCACCGCCTCAGTTGCAGAAGTAACACCGGATATGCTGGATCGTGTTTGGCAAGAAATTGATTTCAGGTGGGATGTCTGCAGTATCACCAATGGCAATCACATCGAACCAAAATGAATGTTTGAGGTAAAACTTGATTTATTTTTCTACAAAATGACACCTCAACCGATTCTGTAAGCCTTCTGAATAAATTTCTATACACTTTCAAAGTTGTAAAGTCCTTTTTGAATCACCAAATAAAATAATAGGATGATCAATGAACACTATTACGGAAGGAAGGGGTCACGGTCTAAAGTCTGAGGTCTGTTATTCCGGAATTTGCCTGGCGGCACTGAGGAATATCACGAATACCTCAGTGAGACCCGAATACAAAGCAGGTATCCGAACCATTCAACCGTGACACGGGGTGAATTCGTAATGAAACAAATCAATGCGAAACTCTTCGGACAAATTATAGTGCAGACAGCCATTATGAAAATTCATCCAAATCCACAAAGCAGTCTGTTCACGCGGATGGACGAACACGTCTTCCTTCCACGCCTTACGCTTAAAATACAGAAAAGCGTACTGAAATGGCTACAAGTATTACAAAATGCACATAAATATGAAAGGAATATTCAGAATGGTTAAACAACTTTTATAAAATCACCAGCAGTATGAAGCCTGAAGTATTTTTATATAATATAATCCCATGATATTAACGCTATGACACATACGTGAGAAAGAAGATAAGATAATTATTTTCCTTTCAGAATCTAGATCAAGTAAAGCTACAACTAGAAAAAACACTTCTGAGGCAAGATAAGAAGCTGTCGGTTCGTTCCTTTATATTTAAGAGAAAAATACAATGCAATTTACAATACGTCGTAATTATACTAAAGAGTGATTCATAAATCATTGTGCCTATTCATTAGTTGATGATTTGGCTTCATGTATTCTTATCTTAACTCACAAAAACAACAAGTCTGGCCAACATCCGAAAGATATAAGCACCAAGAAGGTTAAATAAGCGAAGAGTTGACTTGTATTTTGGGGTATCAGCTTCGAATCCCTGCCGGAGCACCATCTAAGAGATTTAGAAGTAATTCTCAGAATCAGAAAGAATAATATACATGTTGCTTTTGAGTTATGCACCTACAAAAAATCTCATTTCGCAGTAAAGAGTCTAAAAAAGACGTATTTGAAGTTTTATGAACATTCGCAAAATATTTCAACAATTTTATTTCTCTGCTATAATATTCGCAAGTTAATCTGTAACCACAGATCTAAAGGCGTAGATTTTAAAATCCGCGCATTACTTCAGGCACTACGGCTTGTTACACCCGAATACAAAAATTAGTTCCACTACTTAATGTTTAAATAACTAAACATCATGTTTAAAGGTAACTAGTAGTTACAATTCTAATATAGGATAAGTAATTCACAAAACATATCCAAAAACCTTTGGTCTTGTTTGAATCTACGTGCGACTAATGTCACTAGAAGTATGAGAATATGTAACACGGGAAACTGTTGGATACTGTTCTTTTTCATAGTTTTGATGTCCTTGCAAACGTCGTAGAAGAGTGGCATATGACTAAAAACAAGACTTCACTTTAAAGTTTAATTCGTCCCACTTACACTTCACGTCATAAGGTTTATAGGATACCGCCAAGTTCGATAAAAGAGATATATCAAAAATTTGTTACACCTGTTATGTTCTACCCAACATTCTCCAACTTTCTATAAAGTCATTTTCCGAGAATCATTTATTCACATATTTTAAGAAAACTATCGACCGAAATATAATTGGAGTTATATAGACCGATGGCGTTCTGATTGTGACGCAGTTTTGACTTATGGGTGGATACCAACGTTTCGGAGGGGCATATTGCCTCCATCTTCAGAGCTAAATCATTATGCCATATAGAGTCATTATTTAGAACTTGTCGTGGATAACACACAATACAGTTATAAACAGCATTCTGTTTTTATAGAATTACCCCAAAGTTGTTTGTTTTCAGGCGTCGAATAATATGGATTCTTAAACTTTCATAGGCCTGGGGGTGAGTTTTAGAATTGTGGCCTCTGACGAGCTTATTGCACGAAGCTATGAAATTGGTGATGACGTACGCAGGGACTGACGGAGGAAAACCCCGAACGAAACTATACCACAGCGTCACCACAAATACTACATGAACTGCCCTGGGATTGAACTCGGACCTCCTCAATAAGTCCCAAAAACACTTAATCTATGAATAGTACGGCCATAAAATATTGTAGATTTTTTTTAAACTGAGTGATAAGGAGTCGTGGAAGGAATTGAATGTCCTACTTCAACCCTTTAAAGCCCCCTGATAACTTCATATGCCACCTGCTTTAACAATCAGAAACGCTGAATTTTGTGCTTTATAGGCAATAGTCCTAAGTTGAATTGGAAGGACCGAGGATAATCACAGACCTAACCTGTGAGATTATCTTTATTGTTTATTCAACGATGCTATCAGCAACTGCGACTATATCATATGATACGCTGAATACTAAATTACGAATTGGAAATGGCCTATCCCGGAATTTACGCAAAGTGATTCAAGAAAACCAAAATTCTCTCTCCGTATAGCCGGTTTTGGAGCAAACATTTTAACCCTTGGACCTCCAAAGTACGAAGCGGCAGTGTTGACCACTCGATCGTGGGTTTTGCAGTGAGGAAATACGAGCCACCAGACAAACTTTCGAACTGTTATCTGTGGAACAAGAAAAACCCACGTCGCGTTTCAGTAACAACGCTTGATAGGACACCAAACAAACAACGATTCTCCGCGATGTTGCAACACAATGACAACTGCACTTTGTGATGATTAATGGTTCTCCCTGTGTTGCGTTGATGACCTTCAACTGTGCTGGCTACAGAAGGTGCCTGACATTCACTGTTTCAGACCGCTCTTAAAAATTCCGGTCCAAACAACGTTGTGGCCGTTGCTTGATTATTTGGATATCAAAAATTTGTAAAAGAATTAGTTACTGATCAAGTAACGCAGTCATGAACACATGAAA